GCATGATCGCCGCGTTCACTGTTAGCTGTTAGCGCTTTAATTCTGCAAACCATGACTTCATCTCCCCGAGGGCAGACAGACAGAATGCTTTGGCACAGCAGGTAGGCTTTAGTTCAGGATGTTCGGGTTGGGAACCCTCGGCCTTTGGTCTGCAGGTGAACTGGAAATCAGACCTGTCAAAGGCATTCACGTTCACACAGCTGGCCTGCAGCCGGAAGGCAGCCAGGTAATGCCACTCACCAAGGCTGTGGGAAATTTGTCCAGGGGCCTGGGAACAGTCCTGTCTGGGTGAGGCTGGGGAAGGCTGGGCGCCAGGTTACCTCTGCAGTGCCTGAGGACAGGGCGGGGATGGGACAGCAGTGGGGTGTGCCTGGCCTGCATCCGCCACGCTAAGTGTGGGAGCCAGTGCCCACTTACTGGCCAGAGACTGGTCCCTGTCAGCAGTGCTTGGGTGCTGTGTAGGTTAGATCGGAAGAAGGGAAAAAAAGCAGAACTTAAGATAGGAAAGAAAAGCACGAGTTGGTCGGTGATGCTCGGCAGTCTTTTCTCCTCAGGTAAGGGGGTGTCACCACACTCTGTCCTCTCCAGACTGCCCCATCCCAAGTTGGACTGTCAGTGACCAGGAGGACTTCAGTCTGAAGGGGCAGAGAACCAGGTTAGGGGCTTTGGCCTCTCACCATGTCCCAGTTTCTCCCACCCTTTCTTAGCCTTCCCTGTGTCTGGGTTACAGACTCCCAAAACCCTCTTTAACAGTATTCAAGCATGGAGCTCTGGAAGCTGGAGAGGTGGTATTGTGCCTGAGGATCCAGTGCTTTCCTGGTTCTCAGAATTCCTTTTTCCCCCCACCTGCAGCCAGCCAGAGGCCACAAACCAACCCAGCTGGACATTTTTCAAATTCTGACCTGAACCCAGGGCAGGAGACCCTTCCCGTCAGGGTTGTGTGTGAGACACTCTTGTGTGGAGAGTCTCAGGACTGAAGCTGCCCCGGCTCCCCTGGCATGTGCCCCCTTGTGCCTGGAGCTCTGGGGCCTGGTGGGTGCATGGTGGGAAGTGGCAGGACTTAGGTGACAGCCGCCCAGCACGGGGCTGCCAGGATGTTTCCTGTGCTGTCATTGCAAAGCAGGACTTCCATCAATTCCTGGTGACCAGAAAACTTCTGTTGGTGGCCTGTGCTCTGCCCCTGTTCCTCCTTTCATTCTGTCCCCACACATGTCCTGGCAACAGTGGGAGCTGCTAACTGTGTCCCGTGGCTGGCATTTTGGCTGCTCCTGTTTCTGGCTGCAGGCAGCTTGACCCAGTGAGCAGGTGAAGCCTTTCCTTCTTACAGGCAGAGAATGTGGCCTCCCCCAACAACAGTGGAGCTGGGTACCTCTGTGGCCATGGGGAGCACTCATTGCTCCTCCATCGTCCATGGCAATAGTCATCGCCCCCAGGGTGGGGGTCGGGTGAGATCTGAGACATCCCTCTCATGAAAGGTGTGTCTCTGCGGGGCTCCATCTTGGGTCTTCTAAAGAAAGGAGTTACTACAGTACCTTATCATCTGGAAAACACACACAGGCAAGTGTGAAGGAGAGAGAGCATGTTGGCCAGAATCAGTTGCCCTTCGCTTTTGGTTTCTCTGCTGGGCCCAGCCCCCAGCCTGCCTCACAGGTCTTGGAGTCCACTGTTAAGCGGGAGGGCCCCTATGATTGCTCTGTGCCCATTGCAGGTGAGCTAGGGTGTTGCAGAAAGGATTCCCGGGCTTTCTGGCTCCATGGGAAAGAAGGCCATGCAAGAAGGTCTGGCTCCCTAGCTCTTTCCCAGGAGCTGAGCTGAGCTTTGTCCCCCTCCAGCCTCTTCCTGTCCCCCCCCCCCCCCCATGCCCACTTTGTGGTCACTTCCAGGCGCATCCAGTTTAGGCTTTCTGAATCCAGAGCAAATCGTCAGTGAGTGGACACAACCCTCGAATTGTCCCAAGTGGCAAATCTCAGGCCTATGGAAGGTTCAGTCTCACAGGGCATGTCGCACTGGGAGATGGGACTTCCTGAGAATTCATCTTCACATTTTGTAGTCATGATGCTGCTTATTGTTCCCCTGCCCCTCAACCCCCCTAACTATACTTCCCAATGTTACCACCTGCCTTCTCCCCGGTAGGGGCGCACACACCCAGCAGGGTGTTCTGGAGACCCCCTTCCATCTGCCCTCACAAAAAAAATAAGCAAATATTGGCAAACATAAAAGGGCACATCCCTTCCTTCCAGTCCCACCCCCCACTTGCCTCAGTGCCTTCTCTTGAGGTGTGCAGGAAGAAGAAACGGGCCACCTTCTGATTCAGACATCACTGTACAATTCTCTCTGCACAGAGTGTGCCTGTTTCTCCCTCTTAATGTTGAGCACCCCACACCGTTCCCAGAGAAGGGGACCACCTGCCTCCCTGGATTATGACTCTGCAGAGTTTAAGTCTCCCTGCAAAGGGGTGCAGGGAGGGGAGCCTTGGGATACCAGCCACCCCTCACAGTCCTGGCCCTCACCTCTATGTCCTCATCCCTTCCCACACCCTTCCTCCCAGACCTCTCTGTGGGCATCTCTGAGAGCGGCAGACAGAGGTGATGTCTCCTCTGTGAACTGATAAAGATCAGGCATTTGTGTTCACGGCACCCGGGAGCCATGTTCTCTCTGGCCAGTCATTTCACTGGCCAGATTGGGACGGGTGTGCAGGCTTCAGGTTGGAAACCAATATTCCTCCCTCCACCAGGCTGGCTGCCGTCCTTAGACGGTGCCTCCTCAGGTGACTGAGGCCTCAGGCTTGGCTGGGAGGTGCACATTGGCAGGGCCCTGGGCACCCTGACGTGGCCAGTGTAGAGAAGCTTCAGGGATACTGCAGGCAAGGCAGCAGCTTCCTGGACCTCCTCCGCCTGGCCTGAGGGGTGTGGAGATTAATGATTGAGGGTGACAGAGGTGCTCAGTCCCCAGGGATCTTCTTGTGAAAAGGCACAGCCAAGGGCTTGGTGGTCAGGAGCAGGTGAGGGACTGGGGTGCTTTGTGTACTGTGTCTTGAGTATGAAAAACTGAGTAAAGGACTTCTGGTCTTGGGTTTGAGGTGGGTGGGCGGAGCACCTGCCAGTTCCAGGTGATGGAACCTCATTTTCCTTTGTTAATAGAGTTTATGGGGGCAGCCATAAACATTTCAGAGCTGTTCTTCTGAATGTGGGTTTGCTCTAAGGACTCCTGTGGGCTGAGGAGTCTGAAAACTCCTGACTATGTGTTGTGTCATGAATTTCAGATTCATACCTTGCATGGAGCTGGGATCCCCACCATGGCTGTTGATAATGATTCCTGCTTTGGGTTTTTCTGGGGAGAGGCGACACTTGGGCTGAGAACATATATCACCCATAGGCAGGTTGTGGCATGGGAAAAGAGGCAGAAGTGGGGTGCAGTGTCCCTTGTGGAGGATAGTCTGTGTGCCAGATAAGTTGGGGGTGATGAGGTTGACTGTCCCTGTGAAAGATGAGAAGTGGGGTACAGTGTCACCTGTGAGGAGACACTACCAAGGGCACTTGCTGAGTGCAGGGGAGCATCTGCTTGCCCTTAAGGACAGGGCAACACCCACCAACTTGGAATCCGTGAGACGCGGGCTCCCCACCTGCTGCTGTTCTGATTGTGAAAAGTGTGAGACCTGCAGAGTGTGGATAAAGGGGCACTAATGCATCCAGACCTGCCTCGCCAGGCATTTACCACTTTTGCTTTCCTCTGGGCTCTGGCGGAAATGCTTGGCAGTAAGTTGCAGATGTCAGGACACTTTCGCTAGGTTTGCTCCCACGTCCCTCTCCTCAGCAAATTCTTTTCTCCTAGCAGAAGCACAGGGCCGATGCCTGCCCACACTGCCCACACCGGGGCATTGATGGAGGCCCGTGTGTGGTGTCCAGTCTGCTTTCAGAGCTCGTCTTGTGTGTGTGTGTGTGTGTGTGTGTGTGTGTGTGTGTGTGTGTGAGAGAGAGAGAGAGAGAGAGAGAGAGAGAGACAGACAGACAGACAGACAGACAGACAGAGACAGAGACAGAGACAGAACCGGGGCCGCACCCTTGTCAAGCATGGGCTCTGCCCCGAGCCACCTCTGTAGCTTCCCAATGATCTTCATAGCCTTTGGCATGTATTCAGGATTCTCTGGGCAGGATTCCTATGGGTGTGTTGGGTGCTTTAGTCTCTTGAGGTTCTTTCACTGCCACCATCTCTTTTATATTTATGGGATGTGGAGTTTGGGGGGGATCATACCTAGCAGAGCTCAGGACTTATTTCTGGCTCTGCACTCAGGAATCACTCCTGGTGGGGCTCTGGGAGCCATGTGGGGTGCCGGGGATGAAACCCAGGTCAGGCGCATGCAAGGCAGGCAGCTTGCCTACTGTATGCCCTTCCTGACCATGATGTGGGTTTTATAGAAGAATTTAGTCATCTACCTTTCATTTAATCATTGTGGATTGTGCCCAGCCTCAGTTTCTTCACAGAAAGAGAGTCAAATGGCTGCAGTGGGTAGGGTGTTTGCCTTGCACGCGGCCGACCCGGGTCCAATTCCCAGCATCCCATGTCGCCCCCTGAGCACCGCTAGGAATGATTCCTGAGTGCAGAACCAGGAGTAACCCCTGTGTATTGCTGGGTGTGACCCAAAAAGAAAAAAAAAAAGCGGCTGCAGTGATCCTTTGCCTGCAGGAGCCCCTGGTCTGAAACCCACCAGGCTTCAAGAGAGACTGAGCACCAAGTTTCAGCAAGTGCTGAATAAGGCCCCCAAAGCAATAAATAAATAAAAAGATAAGACATTAAGCCAGAGGCTGCTGTGCGGCTCCTCTGAGAGTGGCCAGAGTGGCCAGAGTGGCAGGGACACGGCCTAGAGCTGTGCTCTCTGGGAAGCCTCTTGACGGGCTCTTCCTAGGACCCCTCCCGGCACCCTGAATGGTGGGGTGGGAGAACTGGAATGTGAGACCGGACGTGCTAACCCGAATGCATGTTCTTCCCCTATGCTCCTATAGCGGAAATTTTGGAGCTGGCTGGCAATGCGGCGAGAGACAACAAGAAGGGGCGGGTCACGCCCCGGCACATCCTGCTGGCTGTGGCCAATGATGAAGAGCTGAATCAGGTAGGAGCCACGGGCCCTTGCATGGGCGTTCCCTACCTGGAGGACTGGGCCGCTGAGGGGAGTTGGGGAGAGTGTGGCTCTGCTCAGTGTCCTTGTAGAGGCCACCGAGGAAGAGGCTGTACCAACCAAAGGCGAGAGGGTGGGTGGGCCCTGCAGTGCTGGGCAGCAGGGGGGAGGGGGGCCTGGCTCACCCACTGCTCTGCTGCTTCTTCCTGCTAGCTGCTAAAAGGAGTCACCATTGCCAGTGGGGGGGTGCTGCCCAACATCCACCCCGAGTTGCTAGCAAAGAAACGAGGATCGAAAGGGAAGTTGGAAGCCATCATCACACCACCCCCAGCCAAAAAGGCCAAGTCTCCATCGCAGAAGAAGCCTGTGTCGAAGAAAACAGGAGGCAAGAAAGGGGCCCGGAAATCCAAGGTATGTGCTTGGGGGCCCCAGTCATGTGGGGTAGGGTGGGGTAGGGCAGAGCAGTGAGGGGGAGCCTGCCTCGTAGAGTCTGTCTGACTCAGGAACTGACCACTCAGGGGCTTGTTTTGTCCTCGTGGCCAGAGTGTACCCACAGCTGGGGACTGCAGCCTTGGGAGTGTGACAGGTGTGAGGCAGCCGGCACCCAGCTGGAGGAACTGTCTTCCCGGCCTTCTGGGGAGAGGTCTTGCCCGTGGGAGGTTGCTGTGTGTGCAGCCTCTGTGACACGCTGGCCTTTTTCATCCTGGGAGTGGGGGAGGGGGATACCTCCTCTGACTTTTCACTTACACCCGGTGTCTGCACTGCTGAGGTGTTCGAGGCTGTTTCCATACAGCTGTCTGGGTGCATCCCTGAGAACCCAGAACTCTAAATTCCTCTTGCCAGCTCCCCCTCCTACCCCCAAAGGCCCTACTCCTCAGTCCTGCTACCTGTAAAATTAGCAAGTGGAACTGTTTCTCCCCCCACTCCTCCTTTTTTCGCCGTTTTCAGTTGGGGTGAGGAACGGCACAGGGGAGACAGTGAAAGGACCTCTGCAACGTTTTCGAATGTTAAAAAAGACAATTCGCTGGCAGAATCCAGCATCTTCTCACCACGGGGCCAGCAGCTGGCTGCCTGTGGGAGGACGCTTGGTGCAGGAGCAGGACATGCGTCCCTCCACTGGGCCTGGTCGTCTTCTGCTGTGGACAGTCCTGGTCCCCTGCTGATGCAAGCAGCTGAGGGTTATTTGAACAGCCTCTGCAAGTTCTGGGCTCCTAGCAGACCCCTACCCTCCTCCCTGCCCCAGGTATTTCGTAGCCCATGACTTGTGAACCTCCCAGTTCACTCAACTCAACACTAGGAATGCGGTTTTTGGACTTGGACTAGAGAGTGAGGAGATGTGGAGGGGAGCTCCTAGTAGCTATATTTGGAACACAGTGTTTCTAATAACCATATGTCAATAATCACTCGAACACTCAACTTTTCCCTTGATTACAAAAGCAGGAAGTCTGTTATGGTGGTCTGTTTTTCTTCCATACAATAAAACACTGTCTGCTTACTGTACCAGTATTTGGCTAACATTAAACTCTGGGGGGAGCTGAAATTGGAACCGTGAACAGCTAATTTTCAAAACATTTGTTTAATGTAAATTGTGGTATCAGCTCCCAGAAACAGCAGAGAACCCTACATGTCCAGGTTTAAGTGGAATGTTCTGAAAATAACCTTTCCAGAGACTTGCCGAGAAAACCATAGTAACATGCTCAAGTGCTTGTAGTGAAAGGGAGTTGGTATTTTTCAAGTGTCAACACTTGAATTCCAAATCATAATTTCCCCCCCAATTCTCTGTAATTGGAAGGGTTTGAAAGTATCCGGTTGTGACAGCTGAGTCAGCTACAGTAGGAGCAGAGATGGCAAGAGAACCATCTCGGCACTGTGTGAGCACTCTTCCTTTTCATGTGGGTGGCCGCAGGCAGCTCTGTGCCTAGGTTTCCCTACCCCAGTAGATGAGGGGATCCTTGCCAGGCCTGCATCTCAGTGGCAGCATATTTTCAGATTTTGATGAGACAGTGTGTAAGAGTTGAACAGGGCCGGAAAGATAGTACAGTGGGTAAGGTGCTTGCCTTGGATGCAGCTGGCCCAGGTTCGATCCCCAGCACCCTTTATGGGCCCCTGAGCACAGAGCCGGGAGCAAGTTGAGTGTGTCCCAGACACCACCACCATACCCCTACCCCATACCAAACAAAAAAGAAAAAACAAAAAACAAAGCTTGGATGGTACCAAGGTATATATGAGAAACCCTCTTACCCTACTGCCCCTGATTCTCCCTTGTGCCCACTAGCATATCTGTGCTTGATAAAAACCCACCTAAATCTCATAAAGCAGCTGCCCACCTCTTGGCAGCCCTGCTCAGTAATGGTGGGCTGGCATGCTCTCTGTCTCAGTGCTGGGTCCTGTTAGCTCTTACAAAGTCACTTCCGGGCCGGATCGATAGTACAGTGGGTAGGGTGTTTGCCTTGCACACAGCCAACCCAAGCAAACCCTGGTGCCCCATATGGTCCCCTGAGTAATGCCAGGAGTAATTCCTGAGCACAGAGCCAGAACCCCTGAGCATTTCTGGGTATGACCCAAAAAAGAAAAAAAAAAAAAGAAAGTCACTTCTCTGGCACCCCAATCTCCTTGTCTATAAAATGGAAACAAAATCTAGATGTCTAGATGGTTGGGAGACTTTGACAGAGAATCCCAGAAGGGACTCTGACCTGTGCCCGGCCCAGATGTTAGCTCTTCAGCCACTGCTGACTGGGTCCTTCTGCGAGTGTCTCTCATTTCATAGTTCGATAGTCACTTACACAATCGGCAAATCCACCAGGCCATCCACCAGGACATCCCCCGTGAACAGATCTTGGATTGTCTCTACATCCTCTTGAATACAGTCACCAGAGGCCCTTCTCAAGGCTTTCAGATGCATTAATTCAAATACAAACAGTATGTACCTAAATCCCCCACGCTGGGGTTGGACACATAGTCCAGGGGTTAAGGCTTTTGCCTTTCCATGCAGCTGAGGTCTGTTCCACCCTCAGGGCGACATCCGGTGCCCCAAGCCCTGCCAGGACCACTCCTGACACAGAGGCAGTCCCTGAGCACTAACCCCCCGGGCCCCTCTGGGGGGAGAAAAAAAACTCAGGTAAGAGCCTTACTATTGCTAGTAGTAAGGAGAACTTACTAGGAGTCATAGGATAATTTTTAGGGGATCTCTAAGAAGACAGCTTTATCCAAAATCATTAGATACAAAATGATCTCACCTAGGAGTTTTCAAATATAAATCTCAGTTCCTCCTGTCTGCATGTACAGGTCCTCATTTTGCGTGTTCCTTATTGCCTGGTGCATAATGATTAGTTTTCAGTGATTCTGGTAACAAACTTCTATGGACAAATTTAGTGTTCTGATAAGGTATGCCAGAGAAAGGATTGGTTCTTTAAGAAGCTGCCATCCATCCTTGGGGCTGGATTCAATCTCCAGCACCCCACATGGTCTCCAGAGTCCTGCCAGGAGTACCCCCTAAGTGCTGAGACAGGAGTAAGCCCTGAACACTGCCAGGTTGGTGCCAAACAAAACAAAAAAGATTTTGTGGTTTCAGATTCTATATTCAAGTTGTTAAGTCACTTTGAGTTCATTTTTGTGTATGATGTATGAAAGTCCAGTTTTATTCTCTCGCGTACGGCTATCCAGTTTTCCTAGTGCCATTTATTGACGGTACTTCCATTTCTCTATTCTATACTTTAATTTTTTTTCTTTCACTATTCTGTGCTCCTATGGGCACTGCTTAGGAAGTTTAGGGGCTCCATAGGCAATTCTCGGTCAACTAGGCCAGCAATTCAATGCAAGCGTTCAAGGGTGTGATGCCACTTAGGGACTCAGGTGCTGAAGATACCTGGGCCACTTCAATGTTGCTGGCGACCTCCAAATGATGACATGATGCTCAAGGACCATGTGGTGTCAGGACTGAACCTCTATCGGGCATATGGCTAGCATGAGCTGTACTGGCTCTTTAATTGTGTAATCTTGTATCCTTAGTTGTAATCGGCTGTGTGTGTGTGTGTGTGTGTATTTATTTGTATTTCTGGGCTTATATTCTAATCCATTGATCTGTGTCTCTTCTTTTGGCAATCCTATGCAGTTTTATTTAAATTTGGGATTTTCCAAATGATCCTGGGGACCTTCTCTGGTAATTTTCTATGCATGAGCCCATGGATACAGTTCTGCTTGGGCCCTGTAGTCCTCCGGGGTGGTACCCTGTGATGCTCAGTGGACCTGTAGTTCTGGGAACCAAGCTGGGGTTGTCTGCAGGCAGGGCATTCCTCAATCTCTGTTATTTCTCTGACCCCCATGCTGTTTGGATTACTATAGATTTTTGATCAATTTTGATTAAATGCAGTTTTTAAAAATATTTTTAAATAAGGGGGTTCCTTATTGTGTCTGGCTTTTTTTTTCTTTAATGGAAGCCATACCTAGTGGTTTTCTGGGGCTCACGGTCACTCCTTGTGGTGGTGTTGGGTGTGGGGAGGGCGTGCAGTGCCAGGAATCAAATAATCTCATGTGATTGACCATTTGAGCTATATTCCTGGCCTGTTCTTTCTTAAGATTGCTTTGACTGTTTAGGGTCCTTTGTGATTCTATAAAAATTTAAAAATTTTTTTCTATTTCTGTGAAAAATGCCATTTGAATTTTGATAGTGGTTGCAATGGATGTATAGGTTGCTTTGTGTAATATGGATATATTAACAGTATTTCATTACATGAGCATGGATTATCTTTTCTTTGTTTCTGTTCTGCATATATCTATTAAGTCTATCTTTTCCAATATGTTATGTAAGGCCAGTGTGTTGTTGATGATTTTCTGCTGGATAATCTGTCTGTTGTTGTATGTGGGTATTGTAGTAAGTCTTCTATTACTCTGTTTCTGTCAATTTCTTCCTTTAGGTCTGCTAGTATTTATTTTATATATTTAGGCATTCTTATCCTGGGGGTACAAATATTGATTAGTTATTATATCCTCTTTTGCATGACATCTTTATTGTTAAATGTTTTCCTAGTCTTTATTTTATTCTGTTTTTTTGGGGGTCTACTCCTGGTGATACTCAGGGGGCCATAATTGGTGCTAGCGATAAAAACATTTGTACTTTGTTTTTAAGTCTGCCTTATCAGATATAAATATGCTCTGTCAGTTTAAATTATTTTTTTGACTTTTGGAGCTTAACCCCTGATGCTCAGGGCTTACTTTTGGCTCTGGGCTCAGGGGTAGTTCTTAGTGAAGCTCAGAAACCATGTAGAGTTCTGGGGGTCAAGCCTGGGTTGACGATGTGCAGAACAAGTGCCTGAGCTCCTTTACTAGTTCTCTGACCCTCTTTTGTTTTTATTTCTATTTTCAAGAATATTTTTCATCTCTACTTTTAATTTACATCAGCAATGGATCTCTTG